TCGTCCGGTTTATTTTCACTTTCTTCCCGCAACTCCCCGTGTGATAACGTCCATAGTCTTGTTAGTCTGGAAAATCAATACGCAAAGAAATCTTGCAGCACCTTTGAGACTAACTGAAAGATAAAAGTTGGTAGCATGAACTTTTGTAGCATCTGAGAAAGTAGGTTCAAGTCTACAGAAGCTCATGCTACCAACCTCTATCTTTCAGTTAGTCTCAAAGGTGCTTTAAGATCCCGTTAAATTTATGTTAAAGACAGGTATCTTGCTCAAATCCAAACATGCAGTGTATGTTCTCCAATTTTAGGTTCCGTATGGTCACTTGAGAGACACGAGAGCCGGCATGGTGTAGTGGTTTGAGCATTGGACTATGACTCTGGAGACCAGGGTTCGAATCCCAGCTCAGCCACGAAACCCACTGGGTGACCTTGGGCAAGTCACATTCTCTCAGCCTCAGGGGAAGGCAATGGCAAACTTCATCTGAACAAATCTTAAACAAGGAAACCCCAGGATAGGTTTACCTTAGGATCACTGTAAGTCAGAAATGACTTGAAGGCACACAACAACAAATGGTTATTTGTAACTGACATATGTGTAAAAAGCAAGGAGCAGAAGGTTATTTACAACTACTTATTTTTAGGAAGGATGAAATCTAGTAGATTTTCATGGGGGAGGGAGGCTTCACAGCAGTCAACTTTTTTCTAGGAAAAAAGAGTAAGTTTTGTGCAAGATGCACTATATTCTCTGTAGAAATATTGTGTTTTCCACAAAATCTGTACTCATAATTTTTTTGCAAGAATGTCCAACATGTAAAAAATACTACAATGGCTGACCATTTTCTTTGTGAGACATGTCAATGTGCTTTCTTGTTGAGGATGAGAAAATTTGGAAATATTCTTTACAACTCCAGTGCCTGCATCTCTGTCTCCACAAGGCTGTCAAGGCTTTACATCTCCTGGATGAGAAATACACAAAGGAAACTATATTTTAGACATGGCTTTACAGAGAAAAAGGATGTTATGTTGTAGATAGACTAGAAAAGGTCAGGGTGTTGTGCAGAGACCAGATGTACAACCACCATGGCCAGTTTTTGAGCAGCAAGGTAATACCTGAAGTCCTTCCAAATCCCATTGAGAAGATGATTTTCTGTACAGTGGGTCTACAAATGGTGGGAATAGTACCTTCTCATTCTGCACAAAGAATATGCACTATTGGACCTAAGGAAATTTGCAGTTTTAAGCAACATTAAAAAGTAACTTTCAAACTATTCATGCTGCAGTCTCTCAATTTTATTCACATGATCCAATCACGTCGAGCGGCGGGCAGAGAACTGCTTTTGCCATCTTGCAGCCCTTGGAGCACCATCTGAGCGGCTTGAGCCACCGCACCTGCGAGGCAGCCGGGAGGAGCACCGGCGGATTTAAAACCCACCTGATTCCACCTTCCACCAGTGGCGAGTGGCGGGCGGAGGACTGCTTTTGCCATCTTGCAGCCCTTGGAGCACCACCTGAGCGGCTTGAGCCGC